GGTTGACAAAAACAGTTGACATTTCTTTGATGTGTCTCCATATATGCTCCAAATTTTTCTATACTTAAATACTACAATTTTTGGATTGTTTTTTATTATAAACAACATTTATGAATTCAGTAATCATAGGGGAACATATAAAGAGTGTATCATCAATCTTAAAATGAGTTATTAATTTAAAATGAGTTATTTATACTTAAAATGAGTATATCAGATTCATCTCTTAAAAGAAAGATTTTATTTACACTAAAATATTTATTTGGAAAAAATGATTCTAACTTGATTAAAGTCTTCTCTGCTAATATTTCTGTGTTTTTCCTTTAGTATTTGAGAACTACAGTTGAGTTTCCTTTAGCGATTCATTTCATAGCAATGCATAGTGTAAGATCAGGTAAAAGAAATGTTGAAACACCTTACTGGTCCTACTTTGCTCCTTTTTCTACTTCAAATCTAACATTTTTTAAGGAGAGTTCTGTCAGGCATCAAGTATACAAAGCAGACAATACTAAATAGGATCCTTAGAGATTTAAATCATGCAAAGAGAAATAAAAATATCTCTGCCCTCCCTTCCTTACAATTAGAGGCACACTAGGTGGCAGACTTCCTTTCCTTTTTTTCTTCGCTTATAAATCCAGGAAGTTGTGTTTACTGTTAGCCTTTATTTTTAGGTTATATGTGCAATTAATAGTTGTAGCACTTTTTTTTAAAATGGTGATTATACTAGAAATGGATATTATCAAGGGTTTCTTGAAGTATCTATGGAAAAGCTCACTTATCTGGGATCCTTTGGCACGTTAGTATTGAGAATACAATATAATGGAATAAGACAAAAAAAAAAAAAACCAAAAGATAATAGGCCCAGGTTCTTTCACTAGGAAGAGCTACTTATTAGGCAAATTATTTTATTTTCTTTTTTCCTTTTTTTTTGTTTTTAGGGGCAGGGTCTCGCTCTGTTGCTTAGGCTAGAGTATAGGGGCTTGATCATTACCTCACTGCAGCCTCAAACTTTTGGGCTCAAATGATTCTCCTGCCTTAGCCTACCAAGTAGCTAGGACTCCAGGCATGCACCGCCACTCCCAGTTAATTAAAAAATTTTTTTTTGTAAAGACAGGGTCTCAGTATGTTGCCCAGGCCGTTGTTGAACGCCTGGCCTCGAGTGATGCTCTTGCCTCAGCCTCCCAAAGTGCTGGAATTACAGGAGTGAACCACTGTACCCGGCCCATTTAATTTTTCTGAACTTTGAGTTCTTCATTTTTAAAATAAAGAAGGGACTAATTAACGTTTTCTTAAAGTCTGAAATTTTGTGCTGTCTGGAATATAGTGAAAAGAATATAGTGCCTTTATGTAGTGAAAATAGAATACCTCTAAGTAATACAACAAATGTAACAAAGTACAGTGAATTTCCACCCAACAAAAGTATAGGCATAGCTTGGAGATATTGCAGGTTTGGTGCCAGACCACCGTAATAAAACAAATATTGTAATGAAATGAGTCACACGAATTTTTTGCTTTCCCAGTGCATATGAAAGCTACATTTACACTATACCATAGTCTATTAAATGTATGATAGCATTATGTCTAAAAAACAATGTACATACCTTAATTTAAAATACATTATTATTAATACTAAAAAATGCTAATGATCATCTGAGCCTTCAGTGATTTATAATCTTTTTTGCTGGTAGAGGTTCTTGCTTCCACGCTGATGGCTGCTGACTGATCAGGATAGTGGTTGCTCAAGGTTCAGTTGGCTGTGGCAGTTTCATAAAATAAGACAACAGTGATGTTTGTTGCATCAGTTGACTCTTCCTTTCATGAAAGATTTCTCTGTAGCACGCAATGCTGTTTGATGCATTTTCACCACAGTAGAACTTCTTTCACAATTAGAATCAGTCCTCTCAAACCCTGCCACTGCCTTTCCAATGAAGTTTATATAATATTCTAAATCCTTTGTTGTCATTTCAAGAATGTTCACAGCATCTTCACCAGGAGTAGATTCCATCTCAAGAAACCAGTTTCTTTACTCATCCATAAAAAGCAACTCCTCTTCTGTTCCAGTTTTATCATGAGATTGCAGCAATTCAGTCACATCTTAAGGCTCCATTTCATATTCTAGTTCTCTTGCTATTTCTGCCACATCTACTGTTACTTCTTCCACTGAAGTCTGGAACTCCTCAAAGTCATCCATGAGAGTTGGAATTAACTTCTTCCAAACTCCTGTTAATATTGATATTTTGACCTCTACCCATGAATCATGAATGTTCTTAATGGCATCTAGAATGGTGAATCCTTTCCAGAAGGTTTTGAATTTACTTTGTTCAGATCAGAGGAATCACTATGACAGCTATAGCTTTATGAAATGTACTTCTCAAATAATGAGATTTGAAAGTTCAAATTACTCTATCCATGAGCTGCAGAATGGGTGTTGTGTTGGCAGGCTTTAAAACAACATTAATCTCCCTATACATCTTCATCAGAGATCTTGGATGATCAGGTGCATTGTCAATGTACAGTAATATTTTTAAAGGAGTCTTTTTTTCCTGAGCAGTTGTTCTCAAAGGTAAGCTTATAAGATTTGTAAGCTAGCCAGGTTTGGTGCTCATACCTGTAATCCTAGCACTTTGAGAGGCTAAGGCAGGAGGAACTTGAGACCAGCCTGAGCAAGACCCCATCTCTATAAAAAAAATAGAAAAATTAGCTGGGTGGGGTGGTGTGTGCCTATAGTCCCAGCTACTCGGGAGGTGAGACAAGAGGATTTCTTAAGCCCAGGAGTTTGAGGTTGCAGTGAGCTATGATATATGATGATGCCACTGCACTCTAGCCCAGGCAAGAGAGCAAGACCCTGTCTCAGAAAAAGAAAAAAAAAAGAGATTCAGTAAACCATGCTGTAAACAGATATGCTGGCACCCAGGCTTTGCTGTTCCATTTATAGAACACAGATGGAGTAGATTTATCATAATTCTGAAGGGCCCTAGGATTTTCACAATGGTAATGAGCATTGACTTCAACTTAAAGTCACCAGCTGCATTAGCCCATAGTAAGAGAATCAGCCTGTCCTTTGAAGCTAGACATTGACTTCTCTCTAGCTATGAAAGTCCTGGATGGTATCTTCTTCCAAAGAAGGCCATTTTGTTTACATTGAAAATGTGTTGTTTAGTGTAGCTACCTTCATCAATTAACTTACCTAGATCTTGTGGGTAACTTGCTGCAGCTTCTCCATCAGCACTTGCTGCTTTACTTGCACTTTTATGTTCCAAAGATGACTTGTTTCCTTAAACCTCATGAACCAATCTCTCTTAGCTTCTAACTTTTCTTCTGCAGCTTCCTTACCTCTTTTAATCTTCATAGACTTGAAGAGAGTTAAGGCCTTACTCTGGATTAGGCTTTGGTTTAAAGAAATGCTGTGGCTAGTTTAATCTATCCAGACCACTAAAACTTTTTCCATATCAGGAGTAAGGCTGTTTTGCTTTCTTACCATTCATGTGCTCACTGGAGTGGCACTTTTAATTTCCTTCAAGAACTTTTCCTTTGCATTCACACTTTGGCTAACTTTGGTACAAGAGGCCTAGCTTTCAGCCATCTCAGCTTTTCACATGCTTTCCTCACTAAGCTTAATCATACCTTGCTTTCGATTTAAACTGGGAGATATATGACTCTTCCTTTCACTAGAACACTTACAGATCATTGAAGGATTATTAAGTGGCCTAATTTCAATATTGCTGTGTCTCGGGGTACGGAGACCCTAGGAGAGGGAGAGAGATGGGGGAATGGTCTGTTGGTGGAGTAGTCAGAATACAGACAACATTTATCAGTTAAGGTCAACATCTTATATGGGCTCAGTTCTTGGTGCCTCAAAACAATTATAATAGTAGCGTCAAAGACCACTGATCACAGATCATTATAATGGATATAATAATGTAAAAGTTTGAAATGTTGAGAGAAGTACCAAAATGTGACACAGATACACGAAGTGAACATGTGCTTTTGGAAAAATAGTACTGATAGACTTGCTCGACTTACCATTGTAAAACATGCAATATCTGTGAAGTACAATAAAGTGAGGTATGCCTGTACTCAGGCCGTTTCTAAGCATTTGTGTTGTTTCTCACAAAATATCAGCAAAGTACTGTTAGTGATATATTAGGAACAGTTAAGGAAGGTCTCTAATAAAGAGGAGTTAGGAAAAATTTAAAAATATAGGAACAAGAACTAAAAACATCATAGTAATTTGGCTTGGACCAGTCTATTCAGGACCAAGTAGTGCTATTGAGTGCATTATTATAGTGTGGCGAAGTTCATTAGTTGTTGTTCATTAACAGTTAACTAACAAAGCAAAGCTTATACTATGCTCATCTGTTTAAGAAGACATCAGGCTTATATAGTACATTTGATATAAACCTCACCAACTTAAAAAGTTTTGGAGCTTTAAAAGTACACTTTAACTTCCTAAACATTTGATTTATTGAGTCCCTCATACTGTTATATGTTAGCATATACATTGTCACCATATGTATTAGCATATACATTATCACCATAGGTGCCATCTGAATGATGTTTTTCTTGTTGGACTTAGCATTTGCCAATTAGAAGTGTGTAATTACTTATTAAGGACTTTTCTGTTGAATGAGAAGAAGAAAGATTTTTTGAATTGCTTTGTGGTAATCTATGTCTTTAATAACTGCTGAAAAAGAAAAAGAAAGCATTTTTTGTGAAAAATTGGTTAAAATTTCAAGTCCCTTAAAAGCAACCATTCGAGCAATTAAAGATATTGTAGTGGCAGGTTAATCTATGCTATAATTTGTACGAAACAAGAACTTCTAGAGACAAAAAGATTGTATTTATCCAAAATTTTGAGTATTTGTGGGTTGATTTCTAGGGTGGTATAGTTCTATTAGCTTATTTGTGCTAAGATAACAATGTTTGAAAGTTCAACTTCCTGGAATACATTTTATTTACTGAAAACTTCGGTACAGTACAGTGTTTGTTATTCTGTGTGACAGGATACCCAGAGTTATATTGACGAATGTCCTGGGAACGGAGTTAGGAAGAAAATACATAACGACCCCACCTGTAACTGAGGCAAGTTTGAGTGATACAGACAACTTGCAATCAGAGCAACATTCTTCATCATCTGATCGCAGCCTAGAATCTTGTCAAAATCTAAATCCTCACAAGAGCTGTTTTTTATCTGAAAGGTATGTTTAGTGATAACTTTACTCAAAATAAATACTATATTTATTCTCATGAACCCTCCTTTCTTCTTTCCCCATAGATATGTTATCGCAAAATGTGAGGTAAATGGGCTCTGATAGTTGTTTTGACTTTTCTCTCCTGGTGGCTGGAATGGCTATTGGAACCAACAGTCCATGGCTAATAATTGGTTTCAAAAGCACTGGTTACCATTCTTGTATTTTGGAGAAATGGATGCAGACACTTAATGAAAATTTAGTTACCTATTTCGGTATCCCAGTTTATTTGCCTGTTATAATTGAAATCCATTCTCCTGACATCAGTCTATTCCTCTCTCCTCCGTCCTGTTTGTCCATCTGTCTGTCTGTTCATCTATCCAATCTTATTTACTGGTTTTATATCCAGATTCTAAAACTATACCAGGCACTTAGTGCTCAATAAATATTTGTTGAATGAATAGCTGAATACATTCCTTTACAAAAATGATTTGAGATAGCTGAATTACACTAACAAATGTGGCTTACTGTGCCAATAAGAGAAATGCAAATCTGAAGTTGCCTTTGTTTTAAGCTTTAGGAGAGCATTGTGTGTGGACTGGAAATAAGAATGAATTTGTGGAAAAAAGCTAAGGGACGATCAATTAGTAAATTCTACTAGATTTTTAAAGTTTCATTTGCCTTGAACTCTTGAAGCTTTTCTTTTTCTTTTTTGCTTTTGGCCTATAGAATAAAGAGTTTTTATTAAGTGAAAACTTTATCCAGTTATATATGTTTTTTCCTCCCAAACCATCTAGAGGTAACTTCTGGTTTGTATTTCTATTGTAAACCTCATTGCATTAAAGAGTATTTATAGTTGCCTTTTTAATCTACAACACATTTCTTCTATTTCTGACCAATTTTATTTTTTTAACACTATTTTTTATGAACTTGAAATTTTTTCATTTTGAAAAATATAGTTTCACTTAGGTTTTACTTAGTGAATTATCAGTGACAATTTTAACTTTATACCTTGTTAGGTCTCTTTCTAAGTTTACCCCTGAAAAATGAGAATTTCAGCAGCATAATCCAGTTACTAAAGTTAATGTATAATTGGAGATATTAGAAATTTATCCACTTTGTACTATAGATGTTTGTTTCTGCCTCCTTTGCTTAGACCATGAGCTTCTTCAGGAGAGATATCATGTCTCATTTGCATTTATACCCAGTACTTTGCTCAATGTATTTTGAATTTTGTGCATTTGGATTAATGCTGATATCATTTAACCTTGAACTTCAGTTTCCTGAGTTTTTTTTTCTTTTTTCTTTTTTTTTTTTTGTTAAAAAAATAGAGACGGGGTCTCGCTCTTGCTCAGGACGGTCTCGAACTCCTGAGCTCAAGCTATGATCCCACCTCGGCCTCTCAGAGTGCTAGGATTACAGGTGTGAGCCACTGCGCCCGCCCCGGTTTCCTGAGTTATAAAAGAGAAGTAATTTTGAATGTCCTTTTTACCTTACAAAATGGTTCTATTATGTCTTTTAAATCTCACATGTGACAATTCTTTGTGTACATAAAATATTATGTAAATGGGCCAGGCGCGGTGGCTCACGCCTGTAATCCTAGCACTCTGGGAGGCCAAGGCGGGAGGATCGTTTGACCTCAGGAGTTCGAGACCAGCCTGAGCAAGAGCAAGACCCTGTCTCTACCAAAAATAGAAAGAAATTGGCTGGTCAACTAAGAATATATAGAAAAAATCAGCCGGGCATGGCAGCGCATGCCTGTAGTCCCAGCTACTCGGGAGGCTGAGGCAGAAGGATCGCTTGAGCCCAGGAGTTTGAGGTTGCTGTGAGCTAGG